TCCGTGCAGGAACCCAAACTGGTGCATCGGTAAGACACTGATTTTGCTAATTAGTAAAGCAAAAATTTCCATTGCAAGGGCATTTTAAAGCCAAATTAAATACAAGAAAAAACTCCTTATTAAACTAAAATGTGGTGTAACAGCTCACCACATCCTGCTACCGTGGCATCTGCTGTTTAGCAAAGGAAAGGTTCCTCTTTCAGACTCCTTGACAGGTAGAGAGGTCACGTGTTACCTGCATTTCTCAGCACTATTATTTTTTGTACTTTCTGTCAGTGGAAAAGCTGAACATGACAATGGAAAATATCAGTTGAGGGAAGGCATTGTGGGGAACTGTAGGTGTTAGCTATAAAAGTGACAGTGGCCCCCCTCCCCAAAGCCAGCAGAAAAACAGTGAAAAAAAACTGATGACAAAGGTACTGTAAATCATTGTACCCAGCTGTTTGATCTGATAGGGATCAACCTGTTACTTTAAGGGAAGTGTTGTGCTAATCTGGGCATTGAAAATGAAACATCTTGCATTCTGTTCCAGATCTGCCACTAAGCTGTATGTAGGGCCCCCAGCAACCCAGGTAGTTCTTTGGGTCTCATCTCTCCTGGCTGTAAAGTGGGGCTTTTTGAGTACTCAGATCATGTTGTTTTAAAAATTAGTGTAAAGCCTTTGCAACCTTTCTTCGAAAAATGTTGTACTCATTCAAAACACAACTAATCCTGGAATGGTACTACAGGCATGAATGCACATGTATCCAAGTAGCAGCAGAATCAAAGACCAGCATTTGCTTTAGGAATGAAACTCAAAAGCCTGGGCCAAAATATACTGCTTGCACTGAATGCTGCTGTTCTGTGGAGCACATACAATCCTCTTGTAGTAACAGGTTTGTAAGCGAAAACTTGAGCATTCAAGACGGCAACCAGCTGACTCTCCTCAATTATATAACAAATATTTTGTTAGAAAGGTGGGAATGAAGAGAAAAATACCAATTATTTACTCTGCATGAGCAGTATATCGTGCCTCTCTGGGGAGTTCTGCAGTGGTCCTACAGGCCTGAGTGGAGCCCTTGAGGATACCAAGGGGAAGGAGCATGCTGGATGGCAAAGGAGATGGTGAACAAGGGGACAATCATCTCGTTCACATGGCGTATGAATTAAATTATCAAGAAACAAATTCAAACAAAAAAAAGTACTTTTCCCGCCAGCACATCCTTAAACTGTGGAACCCGTTGCTGCAGGAAACTGTGAAGGGCAAAACAGGTTCAGAAGTCTATTAGAAAACTTCACAGAAGGAAGTTCATCAAAGTTCACTAGAAACAAGGATGCAGACCTCCTCTTGCTCACAAAGCCCTTCAGCAGAATAAAGGTGTACTGAGAAAGCATCGCTGGAGGTGTGCCTGGTTCCTATGCTCTTTCTCAAAGAATTGGCTGCTGGCCATTGTGGTAGATCCAACACTGGTATGGACAGACATACAGGGCACTTCAGCAGCGCCATACTTCCATAGTAGAATTTTTGATTTGCTGTTGGGAAGGTCAACCTACAACGAGAATATTTCATGCTTTCTTGTGAAAAGAAAAAGAAAATCAGTTTGGGGTCAAGCAAAACATTCCAAAACATTCAATTAGATCAAAATACATTTTCTAACATGCAGCAAAAATATTAATATGTTTTGGAATATTAAAAGAACCAAATTTTCCAGAAATTTGAAATAAAAAATGATGCTAAAGACATTTGAAACTATTTGAGAAATGTAATCTGTATTTTCATGTCATTTTGACTGACCCCAAACTGCATTTTCACCCCAGCATGTTTTCCCTCAACATCTGTTTGTGCTAGACCATGCAGCTGGAGGTGGTGGGGAGCATTCTTCTGGCTGAACCCAGCGAGCGTCACTTCACGTGTCCTTGCCGCCTGGTTTCCCCCCGTTCCCACCTGCCAGAGGGTTTTCCTTCCAGCCTCAGGTGCCTTGACGGGCAGTGCGGGAAAGCCCGCTCTCAGCACACTTCCCCTTTCAGCTCTCATATTTAGTGCTCTCTGCTAGTGGTCTGCCTCTACAAGATCATCGACTGCTTTGCCAGATCACATATTGCCCCACCTGGGCCTTGTGCTTGCACCCTTGTCCCTCTCTGTAGGTTTTTTTCCGCAGAGTTATTGGGAATTTTTGCATTTTCAGCACTGCAGTGGGTAAAGGGGAGCAAGTGACAGTGAAATAAAAGAGACCCGCATCTGAGCCATGCTGTCCGTGGGCTGCCATGGATGAGAGAGAGGTTGAATGTCCTCTTGACATTTTGGCCCCGTTTGATTGTGAGATCTAGAAAGGTTGGACTAGATGATCCTTGAGGTCCCTTCCACCCCAGGATTCTATGATTCTATGATCTGGTGGCACTTTGGTTGAGGTTCAGTTAGTGAGTCCAGCAGAAGTCCACCTCTGTCGGGAAAGTAACATACAATAAAAATGAGCAATAAAGCCAAAGGTCTAATCTGTATCCTGTTGGAGTCCATACAAAATTATGAGTGATTTCAGCTGGGGACAGACTGGTTTGGCTGTTGCTCAGAGCTAGAGGGAGCGTGACCAAAGGACTGCAGTGGTCTCACAGGTTGAGCCAAGGGCAGGTAGTCTCCCAGCTGAAAGGAAAAGTTACATCATCTCTAGGGTAAGCCATGCGTCCTACAGCGCTTTGAGTGACATAGGATTCAGCTGCAGGTACCTAGCGTGGCTAGAAAGGGCAGCCTCAGAGTGCCTAAGCCAATTTTGGAGATGGACCTTTGGTTCTTAGACCCTCGTGTCATCACATTGCTTCCAAAATACTTTTATTAAATGCTTTAATAGGGGAAAGCATGCACTGGTGGGCTGGGGGATGTTACTTTTGAAAGTTTTATTGAATTAATCAAGCAAGACTGCCTCAGTGTGTGCTGTAGCATTAGTCTGAGATTCGAGGTACCCGAGTGCTAATCCTGACTGAGATGGGGAGCTCCTCAGCTTTTCCACCTCCCCGTCCCCATCTGTGAAATACCAGTGATACTTATGTTCACATTTTAAAGAAGCGCTGTGAAGATTAGCTATTTAATGTTTCTAAGCACTATCTGTACAAAGACTGAGGATAGTCTCAAGCAGTGTCTTAATTTTATTTGATGTAACAGAAACTTTGAGAGAAAGTTAGCAAAACTGTGACACTGTCTGGCCTGTGGGGGGATTTATTTTCATTGTCATGATCAACACCAAGATACCACTGTGTGTTTTTGCTGCATACCCGATGTTGCTTTGAGAAGTTTATCAAAGAAACTATCTTTACAAAAGCATCATGGAAAAAATCAACCCACAGAAGAAGTGTGCTGTTTACATTCAAGGCAGAGACTTGGTCCCAAAAGCTGTCCGGAGTCTTGCAGCGTGTAAATAGAGTAGCACTTCTTGCTGCCATCAGATGCATGCAGGGCAGTCTTTGTCACAGAGCAGGGCTTGCTGCTTGAATTTGTTTCCGCTGTTTGCTAATACTAAAGATGAACTCCATGGCACTCGCAAGAGAAAGAACTGCTTTGTCTTCTCATTTCCATACCACTCTTAGTTTGCTGCCATAAATAGGTAGTTACAAATACAACTGACATTTCCTTTCTGAAGTGTGGTATGCCTATCCATTGGTAGAGGTGGTTTCGGTGGCCAGGACCTGTGACACAAATCCTGACTGATTCATGTGCTGCAGTTACTAAATGGGCAATAGGTCTGCAGGAGAAAAAAAAAAAACAACCAAAAAAACAACCCAAAAAACCCAACTAATTGCTTCAGGAAGTTGGTTTTAGACAGGCTTGGTCTTTTCCAGTAAACACATGAAGTTATCTGGATGGCTGTGAACAGCAGCCCACGAGGAAAGGAAAACGCGGGCTTTTCCGTGGTGCTTCTGTGACGTGGGCATGTGTTTCCCACTCCCAGCAATCTTAGGGAAACTCAGAAGCGGTGATAGCCCTACTGATGGCATTTTGTCTATCTTGATGTAAATCAGGTGGTGGCAGTCGCTGCAGGGAGGTGGGGTGGAAATAAAAGGGATGTTGTGTAGTCCACTGTAGATGGCCTTTGCCAGGTTCAGTCATTTCCTGCCCATCTGCCAAAAATCACAAGCTGATAAATGGACATAATTGGAGTGTGGGAAACTGTATTGCTTGATGGTCTGCAGGGGAGGGGGGGCAAGAATGAAAGAAGACTCGTGAATAAAGAAAACAACACTTTATCAGCGGAGATGCAGTCTGACTGGCCGATGCTGAGGGAGGGGACCTTGTTCATTCTTTTCTGTGACTCTTACCAAGGGTTTTAACTTGCTCGTCCCTCCCATCCATCTGTGCAGATAGGAGCGAAGACTGTGTGTCCAGTGTGTTGGTTACCACGAAAAGGAGGGTATATATTTACATGTATTATCAGCTCCAGGGAATGGGCAAGCACGCAGCAGTTTCTTCCTTTTTTTTTTTTTTTTTTTTCCCCCTAATGGCATCCCACAGTGGAAAGAAATCAGCATGTGGAGTCGTTGTCCTATCTAGGCATTGCAGCTGCACATACCCAGGTTCAGTGGCTGGCAGCTTTCCGCCATCAGCACCTACCATGGCTAACATACTTTCCAAACAGCTCTTTTTATGGAAGGGGGAGAGGAGATTATTCTAAGATTTCCTGTGGTTCTCTTTGCTTTGTGTTTCCAAGCCAGTTCTAGAGCAAATGAAATATTTAGTCTGTAACTGATTTGAAATGTTAAATATGTTTGATGCAATCGAGGATCCAGGATGCTGCTGCTCTTGTGATGTCTGGTTTTACACAGTATTTAGCATGTTAATAACCTTGGTTAATCCTGCTGTTTTGCACTGTGGTCAGCCTGTGCTAGCTACCTCGTGATGTTACACTTACTGTCGAGAGCTGTACCGAAGCCGTCAAGGAACGGATGCAAGTTTTGGGGGGCTGTGTACTGAAGAGACCTGCCTGCAGCAGTGGGATGCTAATTGATTCCTTTTCTCTTGTCTTCTTTCTTTGCAGTAAATGAAATTATAAGGAATGACCTTTCCAGTACCAATGTCCATTCATAGCTTTCAGTATGGGCCTAGTATGAAGTCCACACACGCTTTTGACTTAGCTGGCATGTCAGCTCGAGTAGGGAGATACCGAATGAACTGAAGACCGTTGCCTGGTACCGCTCTGATCTTCCACCTTACTGAATGTCAGGAACTGAAGATTTACCTCTTGCTTACAAAGAAGTAGCTCCTCAACTTCAATGGATGAAACAGCTTCTTTAAAGAAAAATCATCTCAAAAGAAAGAGGAGGGAGCACGCTCCGAGACGGCACATTTCATGGGACAAAACTAGGAAAATCGGCAAAATCTGAGTGCTTCTTCCCAGTGCTATCTTTTTTGCCATGGCACCGCTGGAATACAGCCCTGGAAGTGCCTTATTTTACCAGGTTGTGGCATCAGGGCATTTTTAATAAGCTTTGAATTTGCTACCATTAAAAGTGTTGGTAGGTGCAGAAACTATAGAGCTTGCGTTCTGGAGAGCGATACTGGAAAAAAGCATAGGACTCTGCAGCAAGGTAGGGAGAGCAATCACTACTCCAGTAAGATGCATTTATGAATTCCAGAATTTCTTCAGCTTTTCCTCTGCTGTAATGTACAGCCTATTGCCTTATTCTCAGTGCATTTCAAAAGCCTCCTGATTTGTCATCATCTCAGCTTTCTTTTGCATATTGTCTTTATTATGTGCTAATGAATCATAGGGTTGTTAGTAGTAGCATGTTAAGATTTTGATTTTAATCTGGCTTCAGTCATAGCACAAGTGAGTTGAATAGCACAAAATAAAAAAGGTTGATGGACAAAAAATTGAAATCTATCACATGATAGATGAATGTGTATGCATGTACATACATACTAGTATATATGCATATATTTATATATGACAAATAATATAGATGATTGCCTAGTGAGGGCACTGAATTTAGCAATAATTTCAATTTCTGAGAATGCATTTCAGATCCACAACAAATATTTCAGCTACTTCTTTTGAGGGTTTGTTGCACCTAAAGCAGGTATGCATTTTCTTTCCTCATGCAGTTAAGCAAGCACTTTAGATAGGCAAGAAGGATGCATACAAGATACATGTTATTTACCAAATGGCAAAATATGAGTTATAGTAACTGTAAATACCATTATGGAAGAGTGTAAAATATTTGTTCAGTTATAATGTTATTATTCCGCAGAAGCCTTATAACTCTCTGCTACATGTATGAAAAAGAATAGTACCAAAAACCCACAAAGGTTTAATATGCAGCGCTGTATAGTGTGTTTTCAGATTAGCTGATGTTTCTGGAGCTACAGGTAGGCATGTAGTGTAGCCTTTAACATTGTATTTTTTACAATCAACCGCTTATTACATAACTAGCAACAACCTATTATTTCATATAACCAAAAAAATAAAAACAAAACTAAAATAAAATAGCATGACTTAAATTAAAAATGTTTAACATTAATATTGTGCCTTAGGAATCTGTGCCCCCTTCTGGAAATACACCTGAACTACACCTCCGTGCTGGGGTGGCTCCTTAACCCTAATGCAATGACGATTGAACAGGTTTCACAAAAAGGTGAAATCCTCCTAAGTGTTTTAAAACATTATTCTGTGTAATTATGTCTTACTCTCTTTAGGGAAAAAAAAATGAAAGCCATATTTGTCACATTTGCACATTACTGTGAAGACATGAGAATATAATATGGCTATATGTACATATTATGCTGTTACCGGTCATTATAATAGTCTGTTACTCCTCACCTGTTTAATCCCAGTTATTTACCCTGTATTTAGCATTGTAGACATTGCATGAAACATTTCTTATAGACTGCCATATGAAAAGTTAAAAAGCTTGACAGATGTCAGCTTGACTTGTAGCTAGAAAAGAGATCCAATAAAGCAAAATGTTTTGCTGGAAGCTAGTCTTAGAGTGGTTCATTTTATGTTATTCTTGACAAATCTTCCTTTCTCATATAAAAGAACATGTTATATACATATATATAAATATATATCTCCATCTCTTCTATTTGAAGCTGTTTGCATCCTGCTGCGTTCTGCTAATATAACCTTCTTAGTATGGAAGTGAAGTCTTGTCAACAGACTCTTCTTCGTTTCCCCCCTGCATTTAAAGACCTTGCTGCCAAGGAGAGAAAATGATATATGATGTAATTCTCAGTATTTCAGAAATGTCAATAAAGTGCACGTGGAGGAATCTCTGGTTATGCCAAAGCATTTTTTTATTCATATACATACATACCTTGGGTGAGGCTTTTAGGATACAGGACGATATACACACACAGAGACACACCTTCCACATGTTCACATTTCAGCAGTAATTTTAGCAAGGTTTTCAACTGTATTGCTTGGATATGTTGCACCTCCTTTGCCCGTATTTTTATTTTCCTCTTTAAGCTATTTTGGGAAAAAAAAAACAACAAAACAACCTGTTACTTTTAAGCCTGGATAATGGAAGATTATGCATCTCTTGTATATGTATTCATAAAATAAAAACAAAAGCAGAAATATTTCCCATATGAGAGTGCTATCTTGTTTTTGTACATGTGTTATGGTTGTTGCTGTCAGTTTATGAAAATGGTTTTCATCAACCGTTTTTGAAAACAAAGCAAAACCAAAAAGCCACAACGCTCTGAACTTAGAGCCTAGTCCTTATAGGAATGTTCAGGAAGACTTTTGCCAGGGATGATGCTGACTTAAAAAGAGCCCTCTGGATGAATTTTCAGTGGTGAAACAAACTACTTCACTAATCGTGCAACAAAGTACTTGCATCTGTATATATTGCTTGGACAACAGTTTCTTTCCTCTCCCTTGGACCTATTTCTGAAACGCGTGGGTTGCTAAGGGTAGGCTTTGGATCTGTGGTCTTCAGTGTGATAGCTACAAGAGACATTTTTGTTAGGCTGGAGGCTTTGGTAGCCCTGCGAGGGCAGGGCTGCCCACAGGCTGGCAGAAGGGGGAGGCTTGCCACGAGCTGCGTATGTGTGATGGATCTGTGCGACAGGTCTGATCTGTATGATGGGTCCTACTCTCCGAATCCCACCGCTGCTCTGCCCTGAAGGAGAAGGGGCAGCAGGAGGGTGGCAGCTTAGTCAGAGCTGGGCTGAGCACGGGTCTGGGTTTCTAGTCACCGCGTCAGGCAGTGCATTTGTATGTACCACCATGTGACACCTGATGGGCCAAGTCATAGAGAAATGCTGGGAAAACCTGAGCTGCTTCAATTTTTCTAGACCGAAAGCAAGATGGGAGGTGCATAAGCACAACAGCACGCCTACCACGGCGGTCCTGATTCAGGTAAGCGTTTAAACACGTTTCAAAAATGCGCCCGAAAGAAGGAGATCCGAATGTGCATGTATGCCTATGTTGAACGAAGACTTTTCTCTACCTTGGGTTTGTCTCCCTGTGCGCAGAGGGTGACACACGCTGCTCGCTGTCACACCTGGTGTCCCTGGGGCTGCCACCAAATCCCTCGCAATTAAAGGAGAGGCGGATGCTCCGAGCCCATTAAAACCCAGATACGGCCCAGCTCTTTAGAGGTCAATCAAAATACTCCTTCTCCACTTCCCTGTCTGCAGGGTGGAAACAGTGATATTTACTCCGCATGTGGACAGCGTGAGTCGTATTGTTGGTGAGGTTCCTGGAAAAAAGGAAAATACTGAAAACTCAGTCACAAATTCCCTATGTCTCCCGGAGACCGTGGCATCATTTTGTACCAAAGCAAAATGTCTGGTCACAAACTGAATTCATCCAAGCAACATACTTCAGTCGTTGTGCTACCCAGCTTCCTCTGAGCTTCTTCTCATTTCCACATGTGCCCTCCTCAAAGCATAGCAGGCGCGAGCACGGCTACATTAACCACATCTTAACCAGACTTCTTTAGGCAAAAGTAGCCTTCAGCAAACTCCTAGCTGACTCCTTTCATTCATAACCAAAGCAGAAGGTGAATCCCACACATCCATCTGGTACTGTTTGACTAAATAGCCTTGCTGGAGTCATGCCTCTGAGATTTTTCCTTTCCAGCTGAAAATGGCAAATTTCAAGGAGTTAAATTTCTTGGACAGAGCTGTACTGCCTTGAAGCTAAGCTTTCCTTCACCATGTGTGTAATTTTATTGCATTCATCACTGTAAATCTATTGAATTTGTCTCAGTAAAAATAAAACAAAATCCCTCTCATCAAGTACATTACAGAGGAGTGTTAAGGTCAATGGCATAAGATCTTCTTGGCTTCTGCAGCTCTTTTTTAAACAAATGGTCTAATTTTATGTCATAAGCAGTGGTTGGACTGTTCATCAAAGTAAAGCAAGTCCCATCTTCTCCACCTTTTCACATGCTTGCCCAATATGGAGCTCAAGTGTTTGCCTGTTTTAATTTGCCCATATTGTTTCCTCATTCTCAGCAAATTAATGTTTTTCTTCTTTGAGCCTATTTCCAAAAAAAAAAAAAAAATCCCAGGTTTTGATTCTCTTCTTTTCAGGTAGCCAAATAATTTGTTCAGAGCAGATCAGTTACAGATTCTCATACTGTTGGCTTTAATTACAAGCTGTTCTTGATTCAAAAACCAGCTTTTTTTTTGGCCAAAGAGACTGTATTTTTGGACTGTGCAAACTCGTGGAGCTTTAACAATTCGAATGGTTGCATTTTCAGGAGATAAGGTGACTGGTAGAATACCTGGTGCTTGCCATCACCCAGGGGCACATTAGCTTTTGTCATTTCAACTGCAAAGTTGCTGACTGTTAAGCTTCCTTAGCTACTTTCAGGGACAGACAACGCACAAGCCACTCTTTGCAGATGTGGCAAATTCATTTTCAGTCGTTTTAGGAAATCCCTTTTTTTTCATCTCGGG